ATATATATATATTCCGCCTCATCTAGCGAAGCACACGGTCAATTACTTAATAAAATTGGTTACAATGCGTCACAATAACCCTGGGAAGGGAATAGACAAACAACTGATGGGTATACATACTGTAACGTTTAGGAAATGAACCGGCACTTTTAGTTGGGTACGGGGTTACAGGGTTACATTTTGGGGTAGGCATTAGTCACTTTTTTTATAAGAAAAACTAACTTTTTTTTATAATATAAAGGGACATAAACAACAACTTGCCAATAATAAATTCTGAAGTGTTAAGTTTTGTAGAGCATGATTCTGATGTACCAGACTGTATTTCAGGAAACCATTCAGTTATCTGCTTCACTGCTGCCTCCTGGTGGCCACAAGTATCATAAACCTTCAAACCTAAAACAAAAAATACATAAATAGCTAAACGTTTTGAAAATGCTTTAAAATATTTTTGGAATTTCATATGTGCTATTTAATATGATTTATAAATTGTATGTCACGTTTGTTATCAGTAAAGTCGGGAATTTAATTTTGGAGCACTGAAATTATTTATCAAAGTTATTTCAATTAAGCTAGAGACGTGAACAATTATTTGGAATAAGTAAAAAAGAACACAAAAACAGTTATATATATACAAGTTTTGTAGAGCATGATTCTGATAAATCAGAGTGTATTTCAGGAAACTATTCAACTATCTGCTTCACTGTTGCCTCCTGGTGACAACAGATATGTAAAAATGAAAACAAAAACAGTTATATAGATACATCCAGATAGAGTATTTTAATTTGGTCCACTGCTACACACACAGAAAAAGTATACTTGGTTTAGAGCAAAGTCACATTGGGCTATTTGTCGAGCCCCGGATTTTAGAGTTGTAAGACCGTAGAAACAGGAAAAAACAAACACTGTTACTACTTTAATAACCATAATTCAAAAACCATCATGACTAAGCCTATATTTTGAGTTTTATGTGGGAGGAAGATTACGTACATTATTTTATTTAGGATAACATTAAATTATCGGACCAATTGGTCCTTATTTAAATATTCCTTTTCTTTTACGCACGAACATAACTAATTATTAGATGGCGCTACTTAAAAAAAAAGAAAAAAGGCTTAACTTTCGGAACAGAATTGGGTCTTATTTAAATATTTCTTTTCTTTTACACATAAATATAACTAATTGTTAGATGGCGCTACTTAGAGAGAAAAAAAAGGCTTAACCTTTAGAACAGTCACGTGCTTTATTTATAAATGTTGTACTGTATTTTGACTAAGTTGTCGCTATGTTAAAAATACCGAATACAGACTTTTTACTTTTTGTCCCAACTAGTCCGCTATTCGCTGAACTTAACAGTAATGACACAATGATATGAGGACAACGATCTTGCAGTTTCTGTGGTCATGGGTTGGTGGGTCTGTCTAAACAGGAAGTCCACGTGCGACTAATTTAATAACATAGCTCGCACAAGTTACTTAACACTGTGGTCGAGCACTTGTCAACAACAGCTGCACGAAGAACAAATAAAACAGCTCCTACGTTCAGTTAGCAATTATACTTAGACCGATATAATAGTTAGGCTTAATTATTCAGTAACAGAAAGAACACCTCCGTGAAACAGCTAGTACGATAACGTATTCGAAAACGCACATCCATCAACCCTAACCTCTGCATATCTAGCTAGCAAGTGACTTGCTTATACTTATTAATGTTTTAGTGTTTACTCTGGAGCAATTACAGCTTTCTCTACTGTTGTAGTAGGATATACTCAGAAGTCCGAGGGTTAAGTACTGACAAATCATTTAGTTTAAGGCACGAAGTTTGTTTTCGTTTGATTTGGTTTGGTTTGAATTTCGCGCGAAGGCTATCTTCGCTAGCCCTTTCTAATTTAGCAATGAAAGACTAGAGGGAATGTAGCTAATTATCACCACCCACCGCCAACTCTTGGGCTACTCTTTTACCAACGAATAGTGGGATTGACCGTCACATTATAACGTCCCCGAGAATCTGCCGTCCCATGTTTGGTGGGACGGGGATTTGTACCCGCGACCCTCCGATTGCCAGTCAAGCGCCCTAACCATCTGGCCATGCCGGGCCTTTTTCGTTTTAGTGTTGTTTTTCAGTATTTTATACTGATATACAAGAGCGGAGGCAGCTAATTAAGAGCACCCACCGCTAATTCTCGGGGCTACTCTTTTCTGACTTTAATGGTGGGATTTAACAGTCAGTCTTTTGGCACACCCACGGCAAAGGGTCGCGAACCATGAATTCTCGGATTCACAGTTCGGGAATTGCTAACCTTTATTTGTGAATTTTCTTTTCATCACTAAAACGTGTATCCTTCGCTTGGCCAGGCTTAAGTTTCTGGGCTAAAATCGTTCATTTCCCCGCAACAGAAAGAGAACAGACAGCTATTGTGTAGCTTTCCGCTAGGCCCGGCATGGCCAGGTGGTTAAGGCACTCGACTACCAATCTGAGGGTCGCGGGTTCGAATCCCCGTCACACCAAACATGTTCGCCCTTTCACGTTATAATGTGACGGTCAGTCCTACTAGTCGTTGGTAAAAGAGTTGCCCAAGAGTTGGCGGTGGGTGGTGATGCCTTCCCTCTAGTCTTACACTGCTAAATTAGGGACGGCTAGCGCAGATAGCCCTCGTGTAGCTTTGCGCGAAATTAAAAAACATACAAACACTACTTGTTTGATGGCTTTAAACACAATAGTCCAAAGAATGTTGAAAAAAAAAAGTCACAATTTTTTGTTGTTTCAAAGCATATTAACAGTTAGTATTGTTTGTTGTTGTTGTTGTTCTTTTGTGTGTATGTGTTTTATTTTGGGGAGGACACTGTATATAGCCCAATATGGCTTTGCTCTAAAACAAACAAACTTAAAGAACTTACATGTCAGTCAGTGGTATTATTGCCTCTGCTAAACGACTTATTAAAGTAATTTATGAGGAAATTGTTGTAAAAAAACAACAACAAATATTTAGAATTTTAAATTTCGGAAACATCGCAAATAATTTTACCTATTCTAACTCCAGGAATAAATGACTCCGTGATATTTTCTCCATTAATAACTCCTCTCTCCTGATTTAGCAACGACACTGCCCATCGCAGTATTTCATACGTTTCTACGCCCTCTACCGTCAGATCACCACAACCATAGATTCCTTTTCCTGGTTGGTGGACGTTCAGTAAAACCCCAATTTTGACGTCGGAATCTGGAGTCACTTCCATGTGACGACTTTCGGTGAAACATTTCTTAGTTGTCAGGTTTCGTCCACTCACTGACCACACTGGCCAGTAATTGGACAACAGAAGAGGAAGCGTTAAACAGGCACTTAGAAAAAAATCATCTCATAGATATCTGCAAAAAGAAATATAAAAAAAATCCATCTTTTATTTAGCAAGCATTTGTATGTTATCACATAAATATATTTCAATTAAAAACAACTTAATATTCCAGATAAAATTCTGTGTCATTCAATTCAACGTTTTAGTTACAGGTCTTTTTTGTGTGTGTGTGTGTGTGTGTTGTCTATCTATTTATTATACACAATATGTGATATCTCTTGAAACGTTAGGTTTTCCAATAATGGCTTCGTCCAGTGACGTCACTGTTGTACATTCTTGTGCTCTCATTTCTAAAGATGGCTTCTGTGTTTCGTCATTTGGTAATTGATATTTTTTCAACTTGAACAGCATCTATAGCAGTATATGGCCTGAACATCCAGGTCAGAGACCCCAAAATTAAGGTATAACAGCCCCTAGTTTAGAACTACTGACCAGAGGAAGGGTAGTCAGTCAGCAGTACCCGCCGCCTACACAGCTACTCTTTCCGTTATTCTTGTTTATGCAAAACGATTCCTTATGAAGTTGAATAAAATACACTTTTCTAGAATTTAAGGTATTTTCTTATAATCATTAGTTACAAAAGTTTAACCTCTCAGTGGCTCAGCCGTAAGTCTGAAGGATTATAGCGCTAGAAACCAGATTCATTACTTACAAAAGTTTAACCTCTCAGTGGCTCAGCGGTAAGTCTGAAGGATTATAGCGCTAGAAACCAGATTCATTACTTACAAAAGTTTAACCTCTCAGTGGCTCAGCGGTAAGTCTGAAGGATTATAGCGCTAGAAACCAGATTCATTACTTACAAAAGTTTAACCTCTCAGTGG